AATTGATCCGTTACTTATCAGTTTTTATGAGTATAATCACATAATTTTATAGTCACAGCACTCTACTAAAAATTTCCACCCATATGCGTTAAGTTAGGATAATGTCTAGATTAGGGTTAGGGTGAGCGCCTAGGTTAGAGTTAGGGTTTAGGTGATTATATAGTAAAATTGTTCAAAGAAAACTTTTTTTGATTGTCGAGATTTTGACCCAAATCCTTGACATCAATTTCGTACAAAAGAACATTTAATTTCGTACATAGTGACATTCTCACAGGTCGAATGAAGGCAAATCGGCATCACGCAATCCCGATATGAACCTGATTTGAAACAGATATTTGGCGCAAATTAAGATACAAATCGGGTCCATATAGTCGTTCAATACATATCGGAATGCCGATAGCTCTATAGGTAAATCAATAAAGCTATAAGGCAAGCTTTATCGATTTATCAATAGAGATATCGGCATTCCAATATGTATTGAACGCCTATATGAAACCGATTTGTATCTTACAGCTGTTCTCATAAATTCTGGACAACCTAAAAATTTGCTCGTTTCCCGAAATCTCTTCGGTTTCATCCTATGAATCATCCAACTCTCCGGGAAAATACATTGATATCTTCGGACTAAAGTTCCGAAGAAAATGCCGTGATTCCGAAGAATTAGGTGACCTTTAGGGCGAAACCGAAGAGATTTCGAGAAACGACAAATTTTTAGTTTCCCAAAATTTATGAGAACAGCTGTAAAGGTCCCCTATTTGCGCCAAATATCTGTTTCAATTGGAGCCCGATTTGCCTTCATTCGACATGTATTTGTCACTCTGTACGCAAAAGGGATAACAGTATTATATATCAATCACTGTCGAATCACACATGTCAATGTACATTATATAAATCTCTAGCCATGGCGAAAAAAAGTTACTGGTCACGTGCCGTGGATCACAATCATATGGGCAGCCGTCAATAGAAATCAAGCAAATCTACATTTGAAAAAAAAATCAATGCCTTAACTTTCACAGCTCATATCTCGTTGAATTTTAAAGCTATCTTGGTAGTATAATGTTCAAAAGAAAGCTTAAATCATAAGCTTTCTTTTGAATATTAAATCATTAAGATAGTTTTAAATTTCATCGAGATATGAGCTGTGAAAGTTAAGGCATTAATTTTTTTTCAAATGTAAATTTGCTTGATTTCTATTGACGGCTGCCCATATCCATATGCATAGACATGACCAATAATTCCCTATTCAAAATCAACGAAAAAATTTTATATTAATTCTATGAATTAGTAGAATTAAAAATAAAAGAATTTTCATCGAATTTGGATAGGTAATTGCTGTAAGGCGATTATCAAAACAGACTGCGGCTAGGTTTTTTTCAAACTTTGAGCTCGGTGATTACCTATTCAAAAATCGATTAGTTTTTTTATTTATTCTAATTCTATGAATTATTGGAATTAAAATAAAAAAAATTTCATCGATTTGAATAGGTATTTACCATTCAAAATTTGGAAAGCTAAGGCGATTATCAAAACAAGACTTCGGCTAAGTTATTTTCAAAATTTGAACGAGGATATCTCAGTAACTACTTATCCTGAATTTTTTTTATCTTAATTCTACTAATTCAAAGAATTAAAATAAAAAAAATTTCATCGATTTTGAACGGGTAATTACCGAGATCAAAGTTTGAAAAAAAATGCTTTGATGATCGCTTTTTTTCCAAACTTTGAATGAGGATATATCAGTAATTACCCACTCAAAACCGATGAAAGTTTTTTATTTGATTCTATTATTGCGGTTTGCGTAATTTTGTGACCCCTGTGATTATTTTTTTATGATTAAATGACTGTGATCGCGATCGTGATTTCTAAAGTCGGCCAATTTGTCATAAATCCGAGCTTGACACAAACTCAGATTCATGATAAATTGGCTAGCTTTAGCAATTGCAATCGCAATCACAATCATTTAAACATAAAAAAAAAAAATCATAGGGGTCACAAAATTATGCAAACCGCAATAATTAGTAGAATTAAATAAAAAAATTTCATCGATTTGGATAGGCAATCACTGAGATATCCTCGTTCAAAGATTGAAAAATATCAAAAAGCATCTTTTTTCGAAACTTTGAGGATATCTCAGCGATTACCTATTCAAAATCGATGAAATTTTTTTATTATAATCCTATGAATTAGTAGAATTAAGATAAAAAAAATTTCGTCGATTTTGGATAGGTAGTTACTAAAATATCCTCGTTCAAAATTTGGAAAAGTTAAGACGATTATCAAGACAGCGGCTAAGCTTTTTTCAAACTTTGTACGAGGACATCTCAGTGATTGCCTATTCAAAATCGATGAATTTTTTTATTTTATTTTAATTCCATGAATTAGTAAAATTAAAATAAAAAAAATTAAAATTATTAATTTAGGGTCTGATTAAAAAGGCCAATTCCGCCGTTCCGCCGAAATGTCGATTTTGGATAGGTAGTTACTGAGATATTCTCGTTCAAAGTTTGATAATCAAGATATCTCGGTATCTACCTATCCAAAATCTATGAAAATTTTTTTATTTTACTAATTCATGGAATTTAATATAAAAAAATTTTTGTCGATTTGTTTAGGTATTAATATCTTCTCGAAAAAGATAGGGTTAGGGATGGTAAAAAAACATTTTTCACCGGTTTAAAATGTTTAAAATGATCCGAATGCATACACTGTCTGAAAATGCGTGACCAGTTACTTTTTTTCGCGGGTACATGAGTGACGCCAAGAGAAAATGGGACATTTGTTTATCGTTTATTATTTAAATAATCGATCATAAACCAATGTCCTATTTTCCCTTGGCGTCACTCATATATCGATCTGTGTATCGATCATAACCGAAATCACCAGTATTTTTTGTTCAAGTTAATTTTTATCAGATAAAGAAAGGATCGTTTGAACCATTGCTACGTATCCGGATTAATTACGTATTGCAACATTTAATTGCTTATGTATCATTCATAAAAACTATCGATGTGAAAAGCTCGCATGTCGCAGCCATAATGCAAGCCATATTCCCAATGGAGTGTCCAGAATTCTAACCGTTATTTTCCACACATAAATGTACGGATTTTACAGATGATCCGCAGGAATTTTGATATGTCAATTATTTTGAGGAAACAATAAGCTACGTTTCGATTGTGTAATTATGCAGATTCGAATCAAAAAGTGAAACAAATTAATCTAAAATTGACAATTAAGGTATACTGCGCTTGTAGTTATGCGTATACGTAAACGTACGTAGTAGCAAATTTTAATAACCTGGTAATTTTGTGCAATTTACTGTATTAATGTAATATAATACAGTAATAATGATATGTAGTAAAAAACCAAATTTATTTTTTTTGTGTCAATGCACAATTTAGATATGATATAAAACAACGTGTCACATATGATCAGGTGTAACGTTACCTTGACCGTAACAGTTAAATTTTTCTACGAAACTTCCTATCGTTATTATTATGTATTTTTTTTCTCATATATTCAATCAACAATACGTAGTTAAAAAAAGTATTCACGAACTTACTAATATAATAAGATTAATTTAAAATGAATCGAAATATAGCATTAATACGTAATTCTAGATTCCCTAGTTTAATTATCATTTTTATTTTACTTACTTTTATCTATATCTCCCAATTCGGATTCCTTGATAATTCCGTTTCAACTAATTACACTCAAATAGAATTTGGTGAAATTAATGAAACTTACATAACCCAACCAAAGTTCGGCACTATGGATTATAGCGAATATATTCCGGGTCACTTACCTTTAATTATTTCAGTTCCTCATGGTGGTCGAATATTTCCTCCTGAAATACCTGATAGAAAAAAAAACCATCCAAGTGTTGTAAAATCTAATGATCTTAATACTCAAGCAATTGGTAGAGAGCTTGCTGATAAAATAAAATTATATTTTAAAGGAATGAGACCTTATTTAGTCATTAATCATCTTGGGAGAAGTAAAATTGATGTTAATAGACCGATAAAGGAAGGTGTCGAAGGGAAAGATACATTGGTTGCTTGGAATGATTATCATAATTTTATGCAAACCGCTATTAAAGATGTTGAAATAAATTTTGGTCATGGACTTTTAATCGATATTCATGGTATGTTTATCTTTTATATAGTATTACCATATTAAAGAATTAATCAAATTCATTTATTTTATATATATATTTTTTAATAGGTCATAGTCATCCTGAACATTTTGTTGAGATAGGTTATGTCCTTTCGGCTGAAACTCTTTCATTCCCAACCTCACAAATCAATAAACCTGAGATTTATTCTGGATCAAGTATTCGTGCTCTATATACTAGAAAATCGAGTAACATCCGATTTTCTGACTTACTTTACGGTAAAACTACTTCACTCGGTGGTCGTTTACAATCCCATGGTTATGAGACTGTTCCATCACATATTCATCAACACCCACTTAACGACGAAAAATATTTTCATGGTGGTTATTGTGTACGAAAATATGGTTCACAGCATGGTGAACATGTTATTGATGCTATACAAATTGAGTATGTTCTTGTTTTCTTTTTCTTTTAAAGATTAAGTGAATAACCTCTATTATTATTTTAGATTACCAAGAACTTTACGAGTTGGGAATAAGGAAAAGCGAAGCAATTTTATATTAGCATTATCAGAAAGCATTGCTTGGTTTTTAAAAGAGTATTACGGATAATTAGATAAATTTTTTAAATAATTGATGACATAATAGGCATAATATAATATATATGGTTATGGCAGTTACGAGCTTAAATCTTATTGCTCTAATATAATATTTCTTGACCTGCAACGTGCTTATGCATCGCATCTTGGCAATTGACCGATTAAATTTGAAGATCAGGTGTAACGTGTAAATTAATTTTGTGCAACAAAAATAAAGAAATTTTTAAAAATTCGCTATATCTCAAAATTTGCAAAATTTTAAAATTTTGGTATATAATAAGCCCTGCTCTAACCGCTAACCCTAATTTTAATCAAGTATTAATTTTTTATACGTAAAATATACGTTACACGGATCTACAAATTATAATTTGTTATATGCATGCGATGAATTAGCATATCACAAGATGCAATGCATAAATTTATTATTATTTTTTTTTATTGAGAATTTGGTAAATTTTACATTTAACTACTGCATTTTTGGTGCTGCTGATATTATATACCCATATCTGCAACTCAACTATAGGGTTATTTATTTAAACTCTTTAGCACTCTAGTTCTGTAATGTTGTTACAGGGCTATAGCCTTCTTGGTATTGTTATAGCAAAGAAACAAGATCACCCAGTGCAGTGATATATACTTTATGAATATACACAGGGTGGATGTGAAGTGTATAATTTACTTCACAGCAGAAGGCAAATGGTTCAAGATAATAACAGTTTATAGAGATGATAATATTTATATTTTTTTTTTATTTTTTTATTTTTTAAATTGTTGATGGGTCTGGCCATGACTCATCTTATTTATAATAATATAAATACATAGAAATGTAAAGATAAAAGTTTGGCACTACTTGGTTTTATATTATGGTGTGAAAACCTAGCTCAGACCTAAGTTGCGACTCCATCCTACCAGATTACGGATAACTAAAATTATTCAAAAAAAATTTTTATAAAAAATGAAAATGAACTATGACTAAAAGGAGAAATGAACCATCTAATAATGGGAGCAATGGCGCAATAAATCCGAGGAACTAGCATAACCGAAAACCCATTTGGGAAGTTCTGAGTTAGGAGTAATAATGATCTTTAATGGTATCACAAGAGGGCTGAATTCGAACTGGGGCCCAAGATCAAAGAACCAAACGACTAGATCCTAATGGTGGAGGACACACTAGCCGAACTGCTGGGTTCTGTTGCGCTAGAGGAAAAGGACATACGCTCCAAAAGTATATACCAAAGGGAGAGCGTCCTTTAGGTACCTAAAGCCTGGGCAGACTGACCTTTCCGGGTTGCCGGCTGGAAATAAGGAAGAGACCGATAAAGAATCTGGGTAAGAAGACGGTCCAAATGCGGATATCAGGGTTGTTGGGAACCTAATAAAGGTGAAAATAGGTAATCACAGGGGTTTAACAGTTAGCCCTGACTTCAAGTACATGGGTAGAGTCGTGGCGTAGATTACTAAAGTCTAGATAAAGAACATATGTGTGGAACATGTGATATCTAGCAAAATGGAAATATCCCGCTATCTAATGATTCAGAGGTACCTGGAGCTAGGGTAAACAAACCTCACGGGATGTGAGGACCAATAGTGAGGTAAATTGAAGTTAATACGACTATACTGGGCCATAAGGTTTGGTATGTCTCACTCAAGATGGTTTTAGAAATTCGGGAACTAAAATACCACAGGAGAAGAGACCTGAGACATCTGCGGTAAGTGATGACTAATTAGGAAGATTGTAGCTTGAGATACAGATCGGGTTTCGGCAGTGCCTTAAAAGGTAGCTTGAGATACAAACTCAGCAATGGCAGCATAACAGATACTAGTTAGAAATTTGTAACCAATGATATACTGAAAATCTTGTAAAAATAATATACATTCGTATACATTCTACTATAATGAGTAATAAAGAGGCAGCGTCGTTAAAAAAAAAAAAAAAAAAAAAAAAAAAAAAAAAAAAAAAAAAAAAAAAAAAAAAAAAAAAAAAAAAAAAAAAAAAAATAAAAAAAAAAAAAAAAAAAAAAAAAAAAAAAAAAAAAAAAAAAAAAAAAAAAAAAAAAAAAAAAAAGAAAGAAAATGAACAAAAGAGAGAAAAAGAAAAAAGTAAAGTAAATAAAAAATAAAAAAACCTAAAAAAGTAAAAATAGAAAAAAATAAAAAAAAATTTTATAGAATAAGGATAAAAAGTTGAGAAAGATTGTATCTCTCTTCATAACAAGGATACATTATTATAACCTGTGCAGACTAAAAAAATTATATAACAAATACAACAATTGTATATCTCTAGTGTAAAGCTTTGCCTTAACGTTAAAAGTTTTTCTAACTTATGATTGCTTTCGGATATCTCTTTAACCAGAGGTCCCGATCTGACTTCCTCGGAGTAGCACCGTAATTATAAACAGACACATTACATGGTTGTATTTTACTAAGTCTGTTCAAATTTGGAAAATAAACAATGTCGATCTTTTGAAGGGGTAAGCCAAATCTCCACTTTTTGTAAAAAATTTTGGAAGACCGAAAGAAGAGCGAGAAAAAGAAAAAGAAAAGTTACCAAACCCAAAAGAAAGAGTGTGGCTTCAAAAAAGAAAAAGTTTTGTTGTTTCTCCTGTGTTCTTTTTTGAAGTAATGACCTAGAAGCTTCATCGATAAAGTTGAGCTTTTTGCCCACATTCTACTAAAATTTTTGGCTTGCATGCCAAATATCTCTTTAAAGGAGTTCCAAAAAGCAAATAACGTTGACCTCTAGACAAACCACAACGTAGGCCACGACTCTTCAACAAAAAATTTGGTTTTCTATTAGTGGGAAAATTTAGTTTTAGTAATCGTTGAAAAGAGTTTTCCATACCAGATACTGTATGATAATATTTATTAATAACAAGTTCATGGTAATATTCTTTGCAATAGGAATACCCTAAAGAGAAAATATTACACTATACAAATATAAGAAGAGTAATAAGGGTGGTTAAGTAAGGCTAAATTCTATGAAAGGGTAGAGAACTCTAACTTGAGCAGAAGAGTCAAAAGGCTCCCTTTTTATAACTTTTTCACACATAAGAGGTGTAATAGTTAAACCATTTAAAAGGCACTTAAAAGTATTATGTGGAAGCACTCAAAGGCACTTGTGTAGAGGCACTTAGAGTCACTTGTGTAGAGACACTCAGAGGCACTTGTACAAAGGCACTCAGAGGCACTTGTATAGAAGCACTTAAAGGTACTTATGCAAAAGCATTTGGAAACACTTGTGCAGAGGCACTTGTGCTACCTTAGACACAGTATTACTGTGCTGAATATAACTAGCCAATAATATCTCTTTAACTAATAAATAATAATAATAATAAAATACTAACTATAGAATTTTTGAAAAAAAAATAGGTGTGGCGACTTAGTGTAGTGGTCTAGTCGTCACCCTCTCCAAGTGGCAGGTCTAGAGTTCAAATCCCACAGACAACGAATTTTGAAAAATAGCCTGTGTTACAGTTTACGGTTGTCGATTATTGGTTGGATCTAGAAATCTGTAATTTCGGTTATATCATCTAGTTATTGGAGCTTTGGTGCAATAAATTTGAGAAACTGGAATAACTAAAAACCCATTTGGCAAGTCCTGAGTTTGGAGGTAGTAGTGATCTATGACAGTACCACAAAAAGACTAAATTTGAACTGGGGCCCAAGATCGGAAACCAAGCAACTAGGTCCTAATGGCGGAGGACATACCAGCTAAACCGCCAGGTTGTCGCACCGGAGAAAAAGAACATATGCTCCGAAAGTATAGACCAAGGAGAGGGTGTCCTTCAGGCACCTAAAGTCTGGGCAGACCAATCTTTCCGGGTTGCCGGCTGGAAGTAAGGGAGGGACCGATAAAGAATCCGGGTAAGAAGACGGTCTAAATGCAGAGTACTAAGGTTGCTAGGAACCAAAACAAGGGCAAGAAGTACGTAATGGGCGCCTAGTTAGGAAGGTTGGTGCTTGAGAAATGTCTGTAGAACAGCAGCACCCCAAAAGGTAGCGTGAGATATAAATACGGAACGGCAGGTCAATATGTACTAATTAGGAAGAAGTTATAGAAACAAGCACGTGAATACATGTGTGGGAC